ACTGTACTCGATATTTTTTTTTTTTTTGGTGTAAATTTTAATACATTATTTCTTTTTTGAACTTGAACGGGAACCAGAATGGGATGATCCAGAAGATGACCTGTGGCACCTTTTGGGTGACTGTGATCTTGTTCGTCTTTTTTTGTGATCACCAGATGAAGAAGATCTAGAACGTCTTCTTTTTTGTTCCTCTCAGAAGATGATCAACTTGAGTAAGATCTTTTTCATGGAGAAGAGGGGCCCCTGTGGGACTTGGAGCTGGATCTTGATTTCAACCCATGAGATTTTGAACATTCTCTGGAACTGGAATGAGATCTTGAGTGTGAACTGCAAGAACTTCTTGAACGGGATCTGGACCTAGACCTTGAACTTGAGGAGGAGGATGAGTGTGATGAAGATCGTGAATGTGAAGATTGAGACTTTAAGCGACTTCATCTATTAGATTTCTTTTCATGACTATCTTCTTCTTTACTTATAATCTTCATCAAGATTATATTTTGAGAGATCAGCATCATCTTCATCCTCATCCTCATCTAATTTATATTTAGAAAGATCTTCATCCTCATCCTCATCTTCTCCCTCTGATTCTTTATCTTCAACTTCTTTCAATATAGATGCAGGACCAACTGCCTTCCCTTTGTACTTTTTCTTTTTACGACCAAACTCATCATATTCACCATCAGGTTCTTCTCTTTCTATATATTCAACATTTTCTCTTTCATTAAACCACCACCATATCCTGATCTTTCTTCTAATTTGGCATACTTTGGAGTATTACACATGTTACACTCTGATCTTCTGGCCCAATTCACATTACTGCAAGTCTTACACTGCCAGTCATTTTTTGCAAGGGTCTTTCCTATTTCAGTGCCCCCAGCTTTTATCATCTTGGCCTCAGTTGCTTCCCCCCAGCCATATCAATTACAGTTAGTTCTTCTAGCAAAGTTTACATTTCCACATTTCTTCTCAGGGCAAATCCAATCTCCATCTCTGACTCGGAAATTCTTGGTGGTCGACAGACATCTTGGATGCCAGCACCACAGCCTCCTTCCATATCTTTTTATACTAACTCTCTCTTAAAAAGTTGTTGTATTTATTATTTTTGATGAGTTTGTCTTTTAGTCTTCCTTTAGTGACTTTTTCTTTATTCTTTTTTCTTTAGATACTACAATAACAGCAACTGGGCTGTTATTTTAGGACTTTTTTTGCATGAATAATTACTCGATTTGGTGTTCTTGTGAGGGGGACGGTTGCTGAAGGATTCTACTTAATCATTTTGCTCCACCTCCTCAGGGTCTTTGGGATAACATTATGCCTTCTTGGAATCCAGGAAAATCTTCTCATTTCACAACCCTTAATTTAATCATATCTGTCAAGTCTCATTTTATGATGTAAATTAACATATTCACAGGTTAATATTAGGATATTTGGACATGGATATCTTTGGGAAGCCACTATTCAATCTATCACATTTCCTTCACATTTAATTTTTAATGTATGAGGACTACTTTAGATTTGTGTGGAATAAAGAGTGTGGCATAGAGTCTGACATAATTGAAAGCAAAAATATGTTATTTATTATACTTTTAAAAATATCTTCTTTAATAGACTCTTGATAAATGCCACATTTGTCTTGTAGATAGTAAGTATGCTTATTGCATGAGTGAATGAATACCGAGGGTCTATGGTGGGTGCATATTAGCATTTTCATATTTCACTATTACGTATGTGCCTTCTCAATGAATAAGTCAGGGAAGCCAGGAATCCCACTTTTTAATGTACATTATATTATGCATTTTCTGAAACTCTCCTCTGTTTACCCAAAGACTGAAGATATAGAAGTTATTCATTACATAGTTATTTAATTTAATATAAAATTCTTTTAAAATTATAAGGGAATATGAAGTAATATTATAAAAATGGCCCAGTAAATACATTATTTAATTTTTTCTTAATGCCTCTGGTAAGTCATACAGCTTTATGTAGGAGAGTTCTCAGAGCCTAGTACACAAATAATATGCAGTAAATCCGCTGGGAAAGGAAGGCTGGCTTCGCAGATGAGTCTCCAAAAGACATTACCTTGATGAATTTTCTGCAGTGTGGAAATTTATCCTCTGCCTTTAAGACTCTGAAGTCTCATGTTGTTAGTACTGAGAGTGGATCGACTTGCAAATGATGGGATTATATTGATTAAGCTTTGTAGAGGTAATGTACACAGTTAAAATTCCAAGCTATTAACATACAAAGTGAAATAGAATTGTCATAAAGGTAAAATAATTCAGTCAGCATTACCAGTACATTCTTTTTTTTAGACAGATATTTTGTAATTAGAAGTTTGGCTAATGAGTGTGGATTCTGGAAAAGACGGGTTATATATAACTTGAATGTTGGATGGCATCAGGTTACAATGTCCTTGGTAGGGCTAGCCTTACCAAGAGAAAATCCATTGGCCAGTCTCCCTCTTTCCTTTTACCTTCATGTAACAGGCACTTTTCTACAACTCTGGGACTTTTCCTTTTCTGTTCTTTATTGCTGACCACCTCATTTCTCTTAATTGATGCATTATTTTAAAGAATAAAAGTCAAATTATGAAAAGATTATTTTATAACAGAAAATCCTCATCCCTATCTTTATCCCCAAATTATCTCCAACTTTTATAGATGATAATCATGGATTATATTAGTTCATTAAATATGAAATGTCTGATTTCACATCACAATTTTATTTTATTATATCTCAAAGTGTATGCCTAAGCTACTGACAAAGTTTTGCCGTCTTAGCAGTAGCTTATTTATGTCAGCAACAAAGAAGCCAGGACAGAGAATGCCAATGAAATCGTGAAAGGCATTTTCCATAGAATTGAATATTTTTTCTTGCAAGAAATGGTCCCAAGTCTGGAAGAAGGGGTCAGTTGGTACATAGTCTAGTGAGTATGGTGGATGAAAGAGAGTTTCCAAGTCCAGCTTTTGTAATTTAAGCAGTGTTGTTTTTTGTGACATGTAGTCTGAAAGAGGATTGGCTTATCTCCATTGAGCAATCTTGGTAGATTAATTGGGAGCATTCTCATCATTTTGTCCAATTGATTGCAGTAGAATTCTACTATAATTAATTGATTGGGTTTCATGAAGTGGTAGTGGATAACACCAGTGCTTTACCACCAGACACCACTAGCTTTTTTTTGATGAACACCAGTTTTGGACTGTGTTTCAGTCCTTCATCTTTTAAATTTTTTTTATCGTTTTCTTTTTTAAAATTTCAGATTAATGTGAGAGTATCAACTGTTAGGTTTGCACTTGTTAGGTAGAGTTGCTATTGTAGTCTGTCCCACATGCAAGAGCTGTGCCATATACATTGTCTCCACTTCATCTTTATCCAACCGCTGTGCCAAATGCTTGCAATGGTTAAAAAATCCATTTTCATCACATGTGACAATATGGTGTAGAAATGGTTTGCATTTATGTCGTGACAGCAAAGAAAGGCAAGCTTTGAGATGATTTATCTTTTGATGCTCATTTGGTTCATGCAAACTCATTTATCCAGCTTCTTTAACTTGTAGGTTTGTTTCAAATGATGCAACATTGTTAGAATAACCATGTCAAATCTTGCTGCTAATTCACCCATAGGTTGAACTGGATTTACTTCTGCTATAACTTTCAGCTCATCATTATCCACCTTGGTCTCAGGTCACCCACATGGCTCATTTTCAAGGTAAAAATCAGCTGAATGGAATTGCTGAAACCATTAATGTACCGTACATTCATTAATCACATTCTTCCAAACACTTCATTGATATTTTGAGTCCGTGCTGCATTGGTTCCACGATGGAATTCATATTCAAAAATAACACAACTTTAGACTTATTCATGGTTTCCCAAAAATTGCTCTTAAAAAAATGTGAAAGATAATCCCAAACCAAAAGGTGCATTTGAAAGAATGAGGATGTGACTTCCCTATTAAAAAAAAAGGAAGCGTCAAAGTAAAATATCAGAGATACTAACTGGCAAACTTAGTACTTAAGGAAATCAGACATTCCATACTTAATAACCTAATATATATCTTATATTTAAAGGGGAGAGAAGAGAGCATGGCTGCTAGTAGGAAATCTCCCAAAGAGGAAGTCATGCTCATCTTATCATCTACTTTGGATAGCCTTACGCTGTGGGACAGCTCTACCAACCCAATACATGCCTAGGGTCTAACAGTATGAATTAGGCAATATTTGTGTAGTTTTCCAGCTATTTATTTTTCATTTTTTTGTCACCCTCGGTAGAGTGCTGTGGCATCACAGCTCACAGCAACCTTCAGCTCTTGGCTTTAGGCAATTCTCTTGCCTCAGCCTCCAGAGTAGCTGGGACTACAGCTGTCTGCTACAACACCTGGTTATTTTTTTTGTTGCAGCTTGGCTGGGGCTGTGTTTGAACCCACCACCCTTGGCATATGAGGCCAGCGCCCTACTCACTGAGCCACAGGCACTACCCAGTTTTCCAGCTATTAAGGAGATCATATTACTAGGAATATTGACAAGAAATGACATGGAAAACTGTTTTCAAGGCACTAGTAATTTCATTTTAAGAGGTCTTATACAACACCTGGCTAATTCAGCCCAGGGTAGAAACTTTTGCCTCCTCTCTTGGGTGAGAGCAATCAGAGAGAAACATGCATAAGCATTTTTTTTTTTT